GTATTCCTCGACCTCTTCATCTTCTTCGTTGATCAACAGTCAGATGATTCCGCGCTCCTGCCCTCAGCCTCCTCGTTCTACAACTTGGGAGGTGGACTCGGGTCCCGATCCATGACGCCAAGTCATGGCCGCTCCAATTCAATGCAGTACAGTTCGGGGGTTACAATGCTCACTCGCCGGCCAAGTTCGAAATTCTTGGCACTAAGAAAAAATTAGAACAAAACCTTTTTTCTCCATCTGGAGTTAGAGAAGAACCCTCATTTTTTTGTCCCTTTTGTGATTTTCTCTTCTGGTATTGAAAATTGTTGAATTTTCCATCTGGGTTTTGGAGAAAAGCCTGTGTTTTTTTTTTTTTTTGCTCCATATGTGCTTCATTGATGCTTCATCCTTTGAGGTTATTTTGTAGAGGGGAAGGGCCTGGGTTTTAGGGCCATCTTCAATTGAAGGGTTCAAAGGTCAGAGAGTCGAAAATAGTCTAAAAACTGTCTTCAATCGAGGGCTAGGCTAGAGGGCTACAAAATATGAAAGGACCAAAGGACAGCTGATCGCATGCAGCAAGCTAGCCAGCCCGGGCTGGCCAGAAAATTAGAGCAATCCTGTTATAACCGACATGAATGCTTAAATAAAAATTTGAATCCAACAACTAGTTGACTAGTTGTTGTATTCAAAATTTTTTTTTTAATGAATTTAAACCTTTTTTTTCCCTATAAATACCTTAAGTTATTCCTACACAATTTTTCACATAATTTTCACCATTCTGTACAATCTCACTTCATTCTATTTTTTTTCCTATAACTTCTATTTTACAAAATTTGTTTTATATATTTTTTTTAAATTCCAATTTTTTCCTATAGCTTCTATTTTACAAAATTTGTTTCATATATATTTTTTTAAATTCCATTTTTTTCCTATAACCTCTATTTTACAAAATTTGTTTCATATTTTTTTACCTATAACTTCTATTTTACAAAATTTGTTTCATATTTGTTTGAAATTCTATTTTTTTCCTATAACTTCCTAAGCCATCATACAACATTAAATTAAATTAAGTAACATGAAAGAACATTAAACAATATGAAACAACATTAAATAAAAAATTATGTTTGGCCCTCAGTCAGAGATGATTTTTTGTGACAGGGCTAAAAAGAGCTCTATGGCCCTTTGACCCTCGGTTGGAGATGGTTTTTTGTGACAGGGTTAAAAAGAGCCCTATGGCCCTTTTGCCCTTAGTTGGAGATGAAGGCAAATATGGCCATGTACTGTTCATTAAAATATTAATTTCTTGAAGGGCCAGATGGCTAAAACGAGCCATCTGACCAGTCATCGGTTGGAGATGGCCTTAGGGATGGAGAATAAGCTTGGTGGCGGGGTGAGTATCAGGGAAGAGGAAGGTTAGGGTGGGTGAGTGGCGGGATAGATAGTCCAAAAATTTGGGCGAGAAATTTTTTTTTGAAATTTTAATTTCCACGTGTACCCTTAATGACACGTGACGCTCAATCATTGTCCACATGAGCGCCATGACATCAGTTAACGAAAGACTTAACAGCCAGATTAACAGATGTATGAGACTGTCCCAAAATTAACACTTTAGGTATGACTCTGGGACGAAAAAAAACTTCTTGTACCAAATGTTGAAAACTACGAAACTTGATGATAGTAAACTGAGATTAACCCTAAAATGTAAGGAATCAGAAAGTTCATGGAGAGTTTTACTTTTAAGCGAGTATCCTTAGTATTTCTCAACTCCAAAACAAAATGTATAAACTACATCACTCAATTATATCATAACACGTGAAAATGATACATTATAGAACAAGTATTCTAGAGACACATAAAAATTCTTTCAAAGTAGGTGGTAGGAAGCAATCCAAAAGTAGGTGTTAGAAAGCAAAGCATGATGTAGATGAACATGTGGAAAAATCTTACAAGAAGAAAAACAATAATTTTGGTCACGAATCCAAAGGTGGGGAGGAAGCTTCAGTTGCTCTTCATAGCTCTAATGTATAGGCTCGTGGTTTGAATTTTTGAATGTTTATTGGGCCCCACGCGTTTGTTTTGCTTTTGTAAGTGGGTCCACCTAAGTTGGACCAGGCCAGAGAGAGTGAGGTTATTTCTTGTAAAGATGGTTAGGTCCAAAAATGGAATGCTGGTATTTGGCTTCCAAATTTTCGCTTAATTAGGAATGCCCTTTCTTTCTTTGTCGCATGTGTATGTGACCGTAGCCATTGTTGTAAGGCGGTGTTGTTCACACTTTTTTTATCTTCATATATTTTTTAAATAATTAACCATCATTTCGTGACTAATGAGAAGAATTAACATGAAAGGAGAATGCCACAATGGAGGCATTAATATTAGAAAGTTTTAACGAAACGTTCATGGTATTGTTCATTTTTAACAAAAAAATACATTTTTACATTTTTATGATACTATTCACTGTATTTTTATTTATCATTTTCTATTAAAATTAAAAAAATTTCATTAGTTTTCTTTTAATATTATTATGATGAGATTCAAACACATGTTATGAAGAGATGACTAATTGTACTGAAAAAGTTAAAATGCATGTCGACGTCTGTATTCGGTTGGATTAGGTACCGCTTGCTGCAGTGGAAACCCTAAATTTCTCTCGTGACGTACAAAGGTTTGACTGAAGTCTTATGCTGGTCAGATAGTCGTACGACGGTAAGCAGAAGGAAAGGGACTTGGATTGTCTACCCTCTCATTTCGGTGTTCTTCTCGTGCCTTTTTGTTTGTGTGGTCACGGTTAAGTCACGTCAATATTTTATATTACTATTTCTTTTTATTTTATTATTTTTATAAAAAAACAATACAAAATGTTGACATGGCTTAACCATGATCACACAAAATAAGAGGGCACGAAAAAGACATCGAAATAGGAGGGCAGACAATCCAAGTCCGAAGGAAAGACACCGCCACATGCGCGCGCACCTTCCCCATTTGCTTTTCAGTTGCTGATTGTGTTTTTTACTTATTCATTTTTTAATTGGTTCGATGGGATGGAGGTTTGGATAAAGTTGGAAGCACCAGCGCAAAACCCTATACATTCTCTCTCCTTCTTCATCATCGTCGACACGTTTCGCCACCGTATGAGCTCTCCCCTGGTGGGATCGTCGGAGCTCGTACCGCGTGTCCACCGCCCCTACTCTCATCTGCAGTCGCCTTGGCGCCGTCACCATATTTCAGAATCCCAGCGTCAGCTACCGCACCAGTTTCCTTGACATGTTTGGATTAGTATTGTGATAAGATTTTTAAACCTTAATTGACTAAATCATGTCGTGTCGTTGAGGGGCAAATTACATGCAACTAGAACGTAAAGTTGTGGTGTTCTAAGCTTGTCTTCTAAGTTTTTCTAGTTCGTATTTTAGTTGGCATCTTTGATCTCATCAATTCTCACTATAGAAACACACTTACAAATATATAACAGAATATAATGTTCTAAACTTATCACGTAGTGTTACGTATGTTGGAATTCCAATTGTACGTAAATTTTTTGAGATTATCCTTTTTATTCTTTTTGTTTTATATTTTTTAAGCTTTATAATTTGCTAAACCTACTAGACCTTAATAGTACTAGCCATATTTATGTAACTAGAGTAGTATCAAAACTTAATATATGGCTCTGGAGTGAAACATTCGTGATTTCTTTGGTCACTATCTGCTTTGGATTTTTCTCCCAAATAGGACACAGGAATTAGACTAAAAATCTGTCCAAAATCAATATTCATCTTAGCAATGATTTTAGAAGTTCATAATCAGAGAACAAATATAATAATATAATATATATACATATATACATACATACATACATACATATATATATATATATATATTTTAGATAAAACATGTACCAAGTCTACAAATATCTCCAATGTTGTTGTCTGTGTTAGTGTTGTCACTTTCCTTTGACAGGCAGTCTTGCAAAAAGTTATAAGTGGTTGCCTAGTTCATTTAGGCAAATAGAACCAATGCATCCTTCACGTTCAAGAAAGAGAAATGGAAAAGTGTAGAGAAGAAATTAACTTGGTAAACAGAGGGAGGTAATTATGCAGTGGAGGAAAATTCATCACCAGCTTCCTTATTCTCTGGTCAGAAAGAATCCACCAAAGTCTATAGTGCATACGCACGTAGACGCCCACGAAGAATGAATGATGACATTGACCAAGGGAAAGAATTTATACATATTCTACTAAACTTATGTGCATCAGTGCATGTACCCATTATTCCCAAATGTATGTACATGAATAGTAATCTAAAAAATGATTTATGTATCCTTTTCCATAAACGTTTATTTAGGGTAATGCTATTATGATAGAGAAATTAAATATGCAGATAAAATTTTATAAATAAAGGAAGTTGATGATTTGATTATTACCTAAATGTTCATTATATTTTTAAATTTAGTTTACCCTAATATTACTCTTTACTTTTGGATCTTGATTTTCTTTTATGCTGTTAAAAATATTAAAAATCATGTAAGAAGAGAGATTTTTTCATATGCTCAAAATACAGTTTGGTAAATTATATCATAATACAAGCAGTGAAAAAGTCATTTTATTTTTATTATAACATGTGTGACATATCAACCGTGCTTTAGTAGACAAATATTTCTCGTGCATGAAAAGCAAATTGGTGTGTGAATATCATGTATATATATAATGGGGTGTGTTATCCACACACCCTATTTTACTTCTCACACACTCCTTTATAATTTATGCCCGTTGATATTCTTCAATTCATCTGATCCGACGGCCGAAATTAAAAAGGTGTGTGAGAAGTAAGAAGGGATGTGTAGATATCATACCCAATAATAATACCAAGATAGTGAAAGTTGTAAAGACGAAACTACCCTTCTCTCTCTCTCATATAGTTGGCCAACACATGGAACCACACCACATATACCATCATCTCTTTCAGCATAGTGCTTCATCTTTTGCCTTTAAGACCATCTGCGCTTTAGAAGTGGGTGGTCTTCCTCCCTCGAAAGACTCCACATTTCCTTTTCTCTCTTCCCTTTTCTCCTCGCTAATTAATCCATGGACACAGCTCACTGACCACAGGTAAAGCAAAACCCTTTTCTCTTTTTCCTCCATGAAATCATGAAATTATCTTCTATGGTTGAGTTTTTCAAAGCCAATATTTAGAAGAAATATCTAGCTGTGGGTTTGGAAAATTATCTTCCTTGCTATATTAGTTAGTTTTAAAATTGTAATAATTTACTTTTCTTCTTTCCACTAATATTTTCTGAATTTATATAGTTGCATCTACCAAAGGTCTTCCATTTTTTGTCATGAAAGTTAAAAAGTACTGCACTTTTCTTTTCTTTTTCTTCTTCCCATCATCTGATAAAGTAGGTTGTTTTCTTCCTTTTACTTTCATGTTTCTTCTCTCCATCCTTGTCTCTTAAATTTTTTGGAGTGACAACATATACTTCTGTTGGTTTTCGATCACCAAAGTTATGGCCTTTTCTTGTCGCTTTGTTTATTTTTTGGGTGTATTTTTATATTTTATTTTCAGGGTATTGGAGTGGTTAAATCCATGGAAGATTTTTCTTCTACAAGGCCAATCACAGAGAGAAGGGCAAGGCCACAAAAGGATCAAGCTTTGAATTGTCCAAGGTGTAATTCCACCACCACAAAATTCTGTTATTACAACAATTACAGCCTCTCTCAGCCAAGATACTTTTGCAAGACTTGTAAAAGGTATTGGACTGAAGGTGGATCTCTGAGAAATGTTCCTGTGGGTGGAGGCTCGCGGAAGAACAACAAGAGATCAAATAATTCCGATTCATCGTCACCGTCCACGTCTTCAGCGAAGAAGGTTGCTTATGATCATGATCACCATCTGACCCCACATAGCAATTTTCCTCCTCAGTCTGCTTCTCAAAACCCTAATAAGATCCACTTCCAAGGCCAAGATCTCAACCTTGCATACCCAACAGCTGATCAGGACTATGACAACAACAATATTACCAAACTATCCTTTAGTATTGACAACAAAACCTACCACCCAAACCCTAGCTCTTCGGGCACTACTACTACATCTCATCATTTCTCATCGGCTATGGAACTGCTCACAAGTACCGGGATTGCATCAAGGAGTCTGACTTCTTTCGTACCGATGGCAGCAACGGCCGTGCCGGACCATTCGAATAATATCACAATGTTTTCTGCTGGGTTTCCTTTGCAAGAGTTCAAGCCAAGTGGGCTTAGTTTTTCTCTAGATGGGTTTGAGAGTGCTGGTTATGGTGGGTGCCTACAAGGTGTGCAAGAGAATACTACTAGTCATGCCAGGCTTTTGTTTCCTACTGATCAGGATTTTAAGCAGCAGATTCCGAGCTCCACTACTACTGCTGAATTTGATCAGCACAATAATAGAGGAGGGGAAGGAGATTCTGGTGGTGGGTATTGGAATGGAATGTTAGGTGGGGGATCATGGTAATTCAATTCCCAGAAAAGAATAGAATGAAAAAAAGTAGTGATCTAGAAGAAAGATTGGTATTTTGGTTTTGTTTTGCTTCATGTGTCTTCGATGGCTTGTTTCGAATTGGAGTTGATAACAAGAACAAAGTAATTGGGTACATGAGCTTTTCTTCCTTTTTTTTTCAACATCAGTGTTAATTGTACTTAATCTTCCTTGTTCTTTCTCTCTCTAAGTTTTCTAGTATGATTCGGAGTATCTGTACACCGGAGCGTAGTAGAATTTCTCATCACTCTCACCCTCTTTCTTATTATTTTTGCCTCTATGCATGTTTGAAATTTGTTTTTGGTTTTGCTTCAAAAGGGTGTCTCATGACTCACGAGGAATTTTATACAAAGTTGCATCAAAAGGAGGTCAGGGAAGTCCCCTATTTTCCTATTAGGGTTTCATAAGATTACTCACATAGACTACCTCTTGATCATCTACACAGCAATGCATACGATGCAGTTCCTTAGAATTACTGCTGGAATTCAATGTTTTATTTTCGTTATGTTTTCGGTTACCTTAGCTAGCTAGCAAGCGTCGGTAATTAATTTGTTAATTAGCTGTGCATACAGATTAATGACATATTCTGTGTGTTTACTTTAGTAGTTAACAGTTGGATTTGTGCGTTGATTGTGTATGTATTTAGCAGTTGAGTTTGGATTATTTATTGGTTTGAAGTAATACTAAAGGTGGGTTGGAATGATGGCTGTCAATCCTTCAATAGCAAAAGTTTCTTCTTTTTGCTTGGCAACAGGTCAGAAATGTCAGGTCATTTCATCACCATCTGCGTCTTTGAGATTCTTCCACCCATTAACTCCACCATCCCCACCACGGGGTTGGGTTTTTTTTTTTTTTTTTTTTTTTTTGCGCCATTATATTTGATGAGTTTAAATTTAAAATTTATGTTTGTTTTTTTTTTAATAAATTTTAAAATTTAAATTCATCAAAAAAATGATAAATAAAGTAATGAGCTTTACCGGTGTTTCATGAGGTGAGAAAAAAATATTCGCTCACCACCCTCTTGCCCTTCATGAATCTTCATAACCCACACAAGTACTCTACAAATGGTAGATGATTTTTCAGGAACAATGAGTGGGTACGCATGACCCAAACAATATTCTAAATTAAATTATATAATGCCCAAGTAAATCAGGGTCTGCCGTCAACAATATAATTTAGAAAACTGTGTCAATTATTTTTTGGGTTCTTTAGATATAAATTCTTGCCACTCTTATTTCCTGTCAAAAATTCACCTAATTATAAACATTCAAATAAAACTCAAATGTAAAAATGGATGCCAAGCATATACCTAATTGACTTATTATTACAAAATATTTACAATTTGTACCACAATATTCAAAATAAAATCAATAAATGTTATTACTCACCTTAATTGCCATGAAAATATAATTATTGCACATATTATTACCCCTAACACACACATATATACGTTCAAATGTATATATTACTACCATAAGCTTAATATATATATATATGTGTGTGTGTGTGTGTGTGTGTGTGTGTGTACATATATAGTTTACCTATATGAATGTATAGTAGTATTATATATATCGTTCATATATACACATGCACAGTACTACATATATGATCAAACATATTAAACTAATTAATCTACCTATATTTAAATTTATGATGAGCAAATAACATAGTTTTTGTGGGTAAATTAATATTGAATCAAATAACATTCTTTTATTTTGTAGGTAATTTATTTTCCATGTATTATTACATATATTTGGCACATTTTATTATTATAAGATATATTTACAAATAATAGGTAAATTAATCTTGAATAAAATAAAATTGCTTTATTTTGAACTAAATTAATTTTGAATCAAATAACATTTTTTCATTATGTAGGATTTTATTTTGTATGTATCATCATATATATTGGGCACATTTTATTATTATATGTACAAATAATAGGTAAACTAGTACTGAATAAAATAATAACATTTTTTATGTAGGTGTATTATTTTGCATATATTGGGGTTGCTTTATTATGTAGGTAAATTATTTTGCATGAATTTTTTTGTATATCAAGCATGTTTTTTGTTGTTGTTATATATATGTGTGTGTGAAATAATTTACCTACATTTATATGTAAAATATAATTTTATTGACTTAACTAAGCATGTATTACTACAATTATTAGGCATGTTTTATTGTTATTATATATTAGGCAATGAATTTATTATTTTTGTATTTTTGTAAAATCATTAATTCTCCCTTACAATTTGTATGAAATTAATTGTGTAACTCAAACATTCAAATAGGGGTGTTTTGGGCATCATAATTTTTTTAATGTGTAAAGTCAAATATAATTAATGAATTTGATGATGTGGAATCTAGTCAATGAGTTTTATTTGAGTAAAAAACTTATGTCGAGTTTTATGTGGAAAAAATTAAGTTTCAAGGGTTAAAATCATATTTTCAGTTATTTTTTCCTTATCATAGAGTTCTTTAACCATAACATTCCTAACACAAAAACACACAAATATATACATGAACACTTTTTAGCAGGAATTTTAAAAGAAAGCTCTCTCTCTCACTTGCACTACATTTGTGAGTTTAAATATTGTACACTCATTTGTGCGTTTTTTTGTGGCATTTATCATTGATTGACATATATTCATAAACTTCACTGTTTTAAATTATATTATTATAAACTTAACACATATCAATCAGTAATAAATATCACAGAGAGGCTATATAAAAAAGATGCAAAAGATGTTAACTCTAAGGTGGGGGCACCACAAACATTCCCCTCGACATCCATGCTAGGGAATAATCTTCTCAACTCTACAAAATCTTCTAGATGTAGACCCTCCCTTAATTAATATAATATGTAATTAGATTCATGCATAGAGATAGATATAAACTTTCTAACTTCCATATGGTTGTGCCATCTTTTTGTCTATGGTAAATTGATGAGCACTAGCTAGGGTTATGGCTCCTGTTGCTTGCTAGTTACAGTGATATATGTAGGTGGATGTGCACCACCCACCATGAACATCTCTTTCTTGCCAAAACTTGGGAATGTACAATCTACTCCACCAATCTCTCTTGGCTTTTCACTTTATTCGTCCCTTTTTGCTTGCAAAACTTGTTCTGATCATCCTTATGCCATTAATCCATCGTATGTTAATCGTCTGTTGAACGGATAATGTATTTTTTAAACACGTGAGAAATATTTAAATATGAGTTAGCAAGATAGCTAATTATACATTAAATAAATTTATTTTAGTTTTTTTTATTCCTTTTACAACTCACGAGATCATCACAAATTCAATTATGTGTGTGACATATGTGAAAGTAAATTGTTTTTTTCATTTTTGAGAGGGGTAAAATTACCACTCACATGACTCTCAGTTGCTAAATTCGTGAAAAAGTTTGATGGAATCAAGTTGCAAATACATCTATTCCATAACAAAAAATTAGGAGATCGATCTGTTACTAACAATAATTGGTTACCGCTTGAGCACTAAATCCAGCAAAAAAAAAATCGTGAAGTTATATGTGTTGATCGAACTGCAAAAATACTGGTCTGGAGATTTAGACCAAAAGAACTGCTAAAATGAAAAGGAGCAAATATTAATCCAATGGGATCAAAATATTTCTGATTCTCTATACGTTTTGATCAAAAGGTTACCCAATTGAAATTCTTTAGAGAGACAAACCTTAGATTTCTTACACCCCACCAACAACAGAGCAAGAACTGTTGTGGAAAATCTATTGAGCCCATCGTACCAGATTGCATGGCGTCGAGAAATATACCAAAATCAAAGAGTGTTGCATTTGGGGGATTTATAGGGCAATAGAGAATGAAGTGTGATATTTCTGAATCTGTTATTGTCTTAACAATCCAAAGTGCCAAGATCACACCCATTTTTCACTTCGACAAGCAAATTGCCAGCAATCTATCTCTCTTTGAAAAAAAAAATGTGCCAAAGAGCTTCAATTAGCTAAACATCCAACAAATTAATTAACTTAAATTAAATGAAACTCATGGAATGGAATACTAAAAAAGAACTTCACTAAAACTAAGTTTGGACTTACGCGACTACCAAAGATGAATACAAAGAATACAAAAACACATTCATCCCATTGTCCTAACTTCTTAGAAAACTATCTTAACGAGGGGTCCTTTAATAAACTTCACACATGACCTCTGAAATCTCAAATACAGCCCTGTCCTTGGCAAGCCCTCGACGTTCTTCCGCAGTTGGTGAATACGAAGAAGCCGTGGCACAAATTGGAGCACAAGAAGAAAGTTCACAACATCCGTAGGGGCCTGGTTCCCCTCATGTCTGCAAAGATTATGAGAAAGACTACTGATTATGAGAAAGATTACTGCACACACTTACGATGCTTACAACCAGCAATTAATCTAATCATCGTGTGAAAAATATTGAATCAGTTCGAATATAATTAACCTATCTTATATATGATTAATCTGTTGGAAAAATTAGGGTCTCATTGTTATATTAAATTACATAGAAAATAAAAAAATAATTCATGCAATTATATATCAAATTAATGCATGACATGGTAACCAATGTTAAATGAACATGACATAATGAATTAGAAAAACCTGAAAATTTGGTTGAGGCAAGTGTTAGACACTCTGTCCTTAAGGGAAGTTTACACCCTACTACGGTGCTCATGCCGTTTGTCTCCCAAAATACAATGACCACATCTTTATAATAGTAGCACTCCAAATCACAAGGCTTCGTGAACCAAGATTGTGTTGAAAACTCTCTTATACGGACTCAATGAGATTCTCTAATATTTAGTACACTCTATGTATGATTGTGTAAAGAATGAGAGTGATCTTATATTTTTAGGGGAATTTCCTATTTATAGAATTTGAGATATCTCTTTGGAAAGTATATAACAATTCATGAAGAATCAAAAGTTGCAACTCTTCATTAGAATAGACACATATCTCCACCAAAGGACATTACTTATAATTTCCTTTCAATTAATAAATGTAATATTATTATAATATTATTAATTTTTTCAACATAAAATATACTTATTTAATAAGCAACATCTTGGTTAAATGATATGCTTAGGAGTTAGGAATAAACTCCA